ATCTCGGAACTAAGAACCATTCACTTGGCAGATGCTGCTGTAGCTTGTTAAGGCTCATGGCCGCCATCAAACTTCATTCCGCAATAGCAGCAGCACTCCAATAGCGCCGGGTCGTGTCGGCACTTGGCACCCACAGGTCGACTAGCAGCTGCTCAAGCAGTGCAGCACACATGATGTGGCAAAGCATCGTGATCATCACCTCATAAGTTTCTTGCAGCGAAGTCACGAGTCTTTGTCACTGCGAGCTTGATGTGCGCTGTTCTTCCCCGTGCATCGCCCAGATCTTAATGAGCGACAGCTGTGCCATGCTGTGCCTGAAGGGGGATTGAATGGAGATGGCGAAAGACCCATGGATCCTCAGGGCCGAAGCGTCGGACCTTGCGCGCAATGAGGTTCAGGGTGTCGTTACGTGGGGCGCAGGGTAATGCATTTTGCAGCTACAGGCGACATGCCATTTCCACTTAGTGCATCCTTGGCCTCAGCTCTTGGCTTAGAGCCTGCAATGAGCTCCTCGGTGATGGCCCATGGCCAGCCGCCTCCTGGCCCGGAACCCGGAAAAGAAGAAGAAGCTCACTGCAAAGTCATGTGCAAAGTTGCTTTGGCGGATCTTCAGGATGAAAGTCATGCCATTGCAGCCTTCAAGCAGCAGCTGGGCATTCACATCAAAGAGGCCCAGTCTTGAGTTCATCTATCCGATCTAGCAGAAGTTGCATGTCCACCATCCTTTGAGGAAGAGGAGTTTGGGTGGATTGCCGAAGTTGGCATCCAGAGCCCTCTGCCACCCCGCTGGACGGCTCACAGCGATAGCTCCTCCGGTGGCTTTGCAGCAGACAATGCTCTGCAGAGACTTGGGGCGCAGTGTAACGAAAAGGGACACTGCTGTTTTGACCTGCCAGGCCGTTTTGTATCCTCCCATGCACGATGTCCTTCGTGCGTTTTTTGAATCCAGTTTCGAATAGGGTTCTTCACTTTTTCTGTTGGCCAGCAAAGTCTAGGGTTATTTGCAGGACCAGAAAATGTGAAGGTGCAACCCATTGAGAAAACCACTTGCACTTGCCGCGTGCTGCCCCATCTCTGTGAAGTGCCGTGCTCACGTGCTTCAGCTCAATATTTAAAGAGTCTGAAGACGCGGCAAGTATGGCCTTGCCCCCTTGCCGTGCCTCATTCTCAGTATTTCTCAGTGCAGGAGCAAGACCAATAGCCACTGACAAAACGCGGCAAGACTCGGAACTGCGCCGCAAGATTCAAGGGTTGAAGCGGGAAATGGCGGCGCGAAGTCATGCACACCGCACTGACCAACGCATCAGAAGGTATACGTTTGCTTGTTTTGGAGTGCACACGTGATTGCATTGCAAGGATTTGGGGTTTTGATCCACTTACATTCTACATGCTGGCAGCCTCCTCATGCCTTTACAATCTACCCATCCCAGACGAATGAACAAGCACATCAAGTACGCTGTACTGAGGGTACGTTTACTACGTCGATCATGACCGGCAGCTTGGTTATCACTGAAAGCACTGAGTTTGGCTAGAGTTCTTTGGTAACTTACCGATGAACTTCAGGCAAGTCAGCAGCTGGGAGAATCCACTTGTGCCTTGCCTACGAAGACTTGTGGAAATAGGCCGGATGCCGCCTTTTGCATGCTGACCAACGGCTGCAGGAAATGACAAATGATTGAGTCTCTCGCCTGACAGGGCGCAAGTATCTCAAATGCTACACAGCTGGGTATTTCGAGGAGCAGAAGGGCATTCTGTGGCACCAGCACAAACAGGAGCTGGATAAATGGCATGGGCCGTTCATGGATGATGCTGGCCGGCAGTCCGGAGCTTTGTTGCTCTCAGGTTCTTGTCTGCGTGTTTGGGAAGCAGCCCCAATCTGAAGAATCTGCGACACTTGACATCGCTTGAATCAGTGCTGCGCTGAAGGTACTTCGTGAACTCGGAGGACGGCATCTCCTCCTGGCAGGATCCACGGATCGACGCACAGCACCCCAGCCGAAGCTGCGTTGAATCCTTCAGCTTGGACATGACTTTGCTGTGGGACCAGGTACGTTTTTGAGCTTGAGAGTGGGCTGCTGACAAGTCTCGAAGAGATTTTGCCTCCAGCAAGACCCGACACTCCCAACTTCGATCCCAAAGATGGTCACTGGAAGACTGCCGAAGGGGCAGTCTCTGGGATTGCAACAAGCTCTTCGCTTCGTGCTTGTAATGGCAGTCACTGTCTGCTTCTGCTATGTGTATTTCTCATGTCAGGAAGTCCTGACCCTGGATAGTCCGAAAGAGACCCAGCACATCATCCACACGGCAGCTCGCAAGACCTTCCGGGAACGGAAGTCTCGAACGCTGACCACAACAGCCGCTCGCCTTGCAAGCGTTGTGGGGCCTGAGTTGAGGAGTTTTGACAGAGACCTCACATGACCTCCCTACAGGCGCAGAAAAATGCCCAGGCAGAGTGCCTTGGCTCTGACATGGCGCTGTCGAGCTTTAGCACCTTTAGCAAGCACAGAACGTCAATGACACTGAGGTATAGATCCACCATGGAGCGAATGAGCGGCGTCGCTGAACATCTGCGGAGCTTGCAGATGGACGACGAAGAAGCTCAACGCTTGCAGCTGATGAGAAAAGCCGAGGCACGGGTACCGGTACTTCAGATAAGGTTGCAAGATGCCATGAACTGGAGTTTTTCTCAGACTGTGAGGCAAGAAGACAGCGACGCTCAGGTCCTGGGCTGAAATCGCGTCCTGCACCAAAGATGTCAGGGACACTTCCACCTGAAAGGTGGCACCGCGGCGTCTGCCCCTCCTGTGCTGGCCGTTGTTCGCATTCCGTCTTCAGCTGAAGATCAGGCTTTAATGGGCAAACAGCAAGAAATTCCTGCAGTGGGGTCTACCTTGGACCTGCTGTGATGACTCTGGAGGTTCGATCCCGCAGCCAAAAACCTTCAGTTTTGGACGATGATGCCTGCCCAAAGCCACCCTTGAATCGACAGGATGGGATTTTCAGAATTTTACAGCTCAGCTGGTTTTGGCACGTATGCCTTCATGAATGCGTGCCAGGACACAGTACCACCGCCACCGCCGCCTGATGAAGCGAGATTGCTCAGCTGACAGAAGCGTTTCCTTTCAAACTTCAGAGACGTGTACAAGTCATCCAGCCTAGGTCATGCAAGAAGCCTTGGCTCCACACGTAGCTCCAGCCAAGTCACCCTCGTGTGCAGAAAACTTTGCACCTCCTGTGACCTGTCAGCATAGGGCTACCTCTTGTCCTTGTAAAGCTGCAGATGCCACAGAATCTCTGAGGCACACCCTCCGTCCCCACAAGCGGGCAAGCGACCTGCATCTTGCCCTGCATGGACTCCGAAGATGCTTCGTGGGTTTTCAGACCAGATCTGGAAAAGAGCGTTTCGCCAAGGTTCTGCATGGCACTCTGGAAAGGGCATTGAGCCAAAAAAGCCAGGATGATGCTTGGAAGAAGGGTTTGGAAGGAAGTGGGGATGACAGTAGCCTTGAATTCATAGCATGCGCACCAAGGATGCCTTTCAGGGCGCTACATTTGCAGAACTCGAGCTGAAGGTGCGACCTCAGGCGCGATTCATGGTGATTGCTGTGGAAGTTGCTTTTCCTGAAAAGCTCCAAGGTGGTGAACGTGGTGAACTTGACTGCGTATTGAGCTGCACGCAGCAGGGCTACGGCAAAACGCCGCAGTTTGGTGCTAGACCCAAGAGTACCTTCGTCAGACAACATTCATGATGTGAATATAGGACAGCGGGCATGTCTTGCATCGTGAATCATTGCTCTGCTCGAGGGCAGCGGCCCGCCAGAGCTTAACAGACTCCTGAGTCTGAGTGCCTCTTCAGGATTACATTGAGATTTGTTGGATTGCAAATCACGTCGAAGAGACACCATCAGACTCCTGGAGTGATTAGGAGTATTGGTCTCCAGCTGAGCTGGAGGAATGAAAATGATACAGTCAGTTTCACATGGCAGCTCCCTACCAGTCGAGACAGCTGCTGGGACCCAAGAGCCCAAGTGCCCGGGCCTATTGTGTGCTTTAGTCAGTGTCAGTTGCGGCCTACCCGGACTTTTGCGGGGTGATGACGCTCATAGCGTGACATCCCCTGAAGAGTCGCGGATTCGTGCGAACACCCCAGCCAACATGGCCCACGCAAAAGCAAGTTGCTGTGTCCTGCGCCTCGAGCGCGAAAAGGTCAAGGTTGGCTCGTGTCATTCATACGCAGTGTTGACGAAAGCAAACCTGAGAGCAGGCAGTGGAAGCTTTTAAGGAAAGCGAAGTTGAAAGCGCCGATGCAGGTGCTTTGCGCAATCCAAGCTGTTTCGATGCCGCAGTTTCGTTCATGTGAGCCTTTTCCTATTTTCAGCTTGGTGTTGGCAAAGTTTTGCAGGGACACCGCCATGCCGGCCAACCCGGGCATATGAGCTGCTCGGGCGGGGCATGCAAACCATTCAAGACATGGCATGAGCTGTTTCCCTGGAGTGGAATCGTGAACAGGAACCAAGTTTTGCTTTCGGAGGGCGATGCAGCTCTCACAAACACCGGTGCAAAACTCAGCTTTGAATCACCTTGACAGCTTTCTCTTTCATGGACGCTTGAGGATGGCGAACGTGGGCGGGTGGATGGATCCTTGTGAAGCATTTGGAGGTTCGCCCACCTCAGGTTAATTGGAGTCTTCGATGATGCTGTGTCTTCTCAGGAGCATTTCCACTCCGTGCAACCCAGGCGTATTCTGGACCCATGCTGCTGCGTCTTGTGCTGCGTGCGTGAATGTCCTCTTGCGTTCATGGCCACGAATGCAAGTGCAGGACCTCTCCTGCGGTACAGGTGCGCCGGCCATCATGAGCTGGTCAGATCTTGTTAGCAACGCTTCGTTTTCCCGCTGCATGGTGAAAGTTTCCTTGGCCTTGCCTTGTTCCCTGTATATTCTCAATGCTGCGTTTAGTTTAAGTATTTGACATTGGGTCATGGGTACCTGTCATCTCCCAGTTCAGTTCAGGAACCTGTGCACCCGGCTGAAGCGTGCACCAGCTCAGGCCTTGCAGGCATAGCTCTGGCAAAAGCTGGGCACGAGGCACACTGTCCCCCCGTAAAGCTAGTACCGGGCTTACCGCGTTTCACAACAGCTTGCGTGAACTAGCGTGAACTATCGCAGGTGGTGCTGTGCGACTTGCCAATAAATGTGCGCCCAAAGCAGAGCAGCTGCCTGACTGTGTTGATCCTGTTTATTTGGTTTCCAGGTACAGACCGTAAAGGACAACTTGGCGAGAAATCGATCTGCTGAATGTCCTCTCGCGTGGCTCTTAGCCAGCCCTGGCTGTGGTATCCTGTGGTGCTTGTGGCCTGTGGCAAGAATTCTCAGATTGTCCGCGCCTGTGCTGTGGGCTACATCTGGGGCAGATCGCTGCCAAAGGAGTGCTACTTTTCCAACACTTCCAGATTTCTATCCCTTCAGAGACGGTGCAGGAACTGCAGCAGCCCTTTGATGTGGTGCTATGCGGCGATCTGCTATATCATGAAGCTTCCCGAGAAACCTCTTGGAACATGCATGTTTGTTTATCATCCAATTTGCCTATAGACTCTAGGGTTGGGGTTACATATGGTTATATAGGGATAATGGAAAATAAAATGGAAACTACTGATAATGGGGTATTTAGGGATTATAAGCATAATATATTAATAATTGACGTTTCGAGGTGTGGAGTGGCAAATTGCAGCAGGAATTCTTGCAAACTCTGCAGGCCCGGTAACATAGGGCGCTCTGTTCTGATGCATCTGAAGCCTTTCTCAGGAAATTTGCTGCTGCAAGCGACCCGGTCGCCAGCTGAACTGCGTGTTGCAGATGGCCAGCCATACTTTACGAGCAGTGACTTCCTAGCTTATGCCCAAGGTCCTGAAATCATCTTCGCAGGACAAGTGCGCAGTGGCCGGCAAGAGAATCAGGCGCTGCAAGGAGTTTCCGTAAAGACCGCCCTCTGACATTCTTGGAAAGGTGATTGGTTACATTGCCGACTACCTCCACTACAAGGAGGCCGCCTGGATCCTCGTTCCAAGCGGTACTCTGCAAGCCACTGGTTGGAGGTCCCGTTATGTGTGGATCCAAAATGGTTCCACTCGCCTGGATCTCCTTTGGTTGCAGATGCCAAATACAGGCCTTGGGGGCCTTGGGTCCGGAACTTTCTCACAGCGCACCTTGGCATGTTCGCCAGGCTTCTGCGCCTCGAGCCCCTTACTGACTAGTGGGGCAATCACATGTGTCACCGTAAATGTCTAGGTGGATTGTAGCTTGTAGCGCCGACGCGTGTACGCAAAAAGCTGGAAAAGCGTGGGGCTGCAACGCGGTTGCATACGTTGCCTACGCAGAGATGACGCTTTCATGCTTGGGAAGCCGGTGAGGTCACGCACCACGTGTGGTCTAGCTTGTGGGAGCAGCAGCGCTCGGGATGCGTTGTTGTTGTTATTGTTGTTGTTGTTGTCGTCCCCATGTAGACGCGCAAAATCAGCGTCCTCGCCCG